CTTATGGGTTGTTTATTTTAGTTGAACTGATTCAACATCCCATTAGCTAGGTCTTGATTTTCATAGTATTTTCTCTTCTTCAGAAAGGCCGGAGTATTTCGAGAATTCTACTCATCCCTGTCAGCGCCAGCACTTTCCTACTGTGAGGTTTTTTAATGTCAAGGAATTTCAGCCTGATAAAATAGATGACAAAAATCAAAAGCAAGAACAATAGATGCAAATATACTAAGTGACATATAAATCCGAACACCCAGTTTAAATGGTTTTATTTTAATAAAAGTTGGTGAATGTATTTATCTTACTGTAAATAACAAGTAAAAAAAATTTCAGCCTTATCAGTTGGACATTCCGGTTTTTATACTGCTTTTCTTTAATTCACTAACGCTCTAAAAATGAATATTTCAGCCGCAGTAAAGAATCAACGTTGGCGGCCGTACGCAAAGAGCAAGGGGCACTGGACGCCGCCGTAGAACAACAGACCGTGAAGATCGCCGCCAAAGATTATTGGCCTTGAGGGACCGTTTCTCCACTACCAGGTCCATTGCAAATGAATGGTTTGCAGAACACGGAAGACCTATTGGCATGCGAAGTGTTTACCGACGAATGAGAAGTTTTGGCTTGTTTTCATACCGGCCACACTGGGTCCTCCCTTTAACTCGAGAACACCCACGTAATCGCCTTGAGTGGTGCAGACAACGTTCACTCTGGGATCAGGAATGGAACAGTATTGTCTTTAGTGACGAGTCTCGATTTTGTTTAGGCATGCACGATGGTCGTGCCAGGGTTAGAAGGCGCCGTGGTGAAAGGAGGAATCCACAGTTTTTTGTTGAAAGACATGTTCATCACACTGTTGGAATTATGGTTTGGGGTGCTATAGCTTGTGGTTCCAGGTCACCTTTAATCTTCATCAGAGGTAACATGAACGCGCAGCGTTATATCCACGAAGTTCTAGAACCTCATCTTTTACCCTATCTTGACACCTTGGCAGATCCAACTTTCCAACAAGATAATGCCCGACCACATGTTGCAAGAGTCACAATAGACTTCTTTCAACATAATGATGTCACATTGTTACCATGGCCACCAAGATCTCCCGACTTATCCCCAATTGAGCACGTGTGGGATATGATGGGTAGAAGATTGCTCAATATGCAACGTCCTCCTCAGACTCTAGAAGCACTTCGAGAGGAGTTGGTGGTTGCCTGGAATGAGATACCACAGGAGGACATTGACCACCTGATCAGAAGCATGCCTAGGCGCGTTGGAGAATGCGTAGCACATCAGGGTGCATCCACACATTATTAAAGGTCAAAGGGCTTTAAAGCAGTGCAATCATTTTGAAATTTTTATCATTTACTTATTATGCTTCATTAAGTACTTATACAAAATTTTATTAAAATAAAACCATTTAAACTGGGTGTTCGGATTTATATGTCACTTATTATACGTATTCCCTTATTTCGTCCATCTCGCTACCGTCTTTTATTTGTTTGCTAGGCGGGGATCTCTTGATTTTCCTGCTTCTCTTAAATGCGGTTTCTTCTGTTTCCGTTGTCGTTTTCCTTTTTCCGTCGTCCGTCGATGTCCCTTCTGACTCTGTGTCTGGCCCGCTGTATGACATTTATTTCCACCCTATGGGTTGGTTTATAAAAAAAAATATCTTTTCCGATGCTATGTGGCGATTCACCAATGATTCCTGGTTTCTTTTAAAATATAAATAATATATAAGCGTGTTAATAATAATAAAAACATGTTAAAAAACAAACGAAGTGTCACCGCATAGAAAAATAAAATAAAAGTGTCAATTTTACTTCAAAAAGGTCACCGTTGTGACCAAAACACGGTACAATAATGAGGGATCTTTAAGCATATCTGATTACTACTACTACTAATCGTAGGAGTATCTGAGAATTGAAAGTAAGTACTCAGTTATGATTTAGAAACAACTCGGTATTGAATTGTACACCGCGTTGCTGTTAAGTGCGTTGTGTGTCCGACGATTTACCCTGCCTGGTGTGCTACTCTTACCTTATGCACGAGATAAACTCCAATATATAACGAAATATCGCGAAAACGACTTGTTCTTATGTTAAAGAATTGATTTACCATAGCTAAATAATACAGAAACAAGGTCGCTTGAGTTTGCCGTTTACAGTTTCAGTTTCCTTTTCCCTTTTCTTCAACTTTCTAAACTGGGGTATTGATTGTACTTCTATTGTATCAGACTATCAAGGTTAAAGGTTAAATTTACTTAAAAATAGCGTAGAGTGAAAGGAACAGATGTTGTATACATGCAAAAATAGTATAATGACGTTGGTGACAGACTTTCAAATTATGTGTTGGGATATCGGAGCGAGTACAATGTACGGAGCAAAATTCAGACTACAGAAAAACACTACAATAATATGAATTGTCACCCTGTCATAGAACTTCTATTGTAATATAGCTGGGAAGCTTTGTAGGAGTTTTCATTGCTCTATTTACAGATAGATATCTTCGATTTCATTCCCAAAATATACTGAGTGACATATACATCCGAACACCCAGTTTAAATGGTTTTATTTTAATAAAATTTTGTATAAGTACTTAATGAAGCATAATAAGTAAATGATAAAAATTTCAAAATGATTCCACTGCTTTAAAGCCCTTTGACCTTTAATAATGTGTGGATGCACCCTGATGTTCTACGCGTCCTCCAACGCGCCTAGGCATGCTTCTGATCAGGTGGTCAATGTCCTCCTGTGGTATCTCATTCCAGGCAACTACCAACTCTCTCGAAGTGCTTCTAGAGCCTAAGGAGGACGTTGCAAATTGAGCAATCTCCTACCCATCATATCCAACACGTGCTCAATTGGGGATAAGTCGGGAGATCTTGGTGGCCATGGTAACAATGTAACATTATTATGTTGAAAGAAGTCTATTGTGACTCTTGCAACATGTGGTCGGGCATTATCTTGTTGGAAAGTTGGATCTGCCAGGGTGTCAAGATAGGGTAAAAGATGGGGTTCTAAAACTTCGTGGATATAACGCTGCGCGTTCATGTTACCTCTGACGAAGATTGAAGGTGACCTGGAACCATAAGCTATAGCACCCCAAACCATAACTCCAACATTGTGATCAACATGTCTATCAACAAAAAACTGTGTATTCCTCCTTTCACCACGTCGCCTTCTAACCCTGGCACGACCATCGTACATGCCTAAACAAAATCGAGACTCGTCACTAAAGACAATACTGTTCCATTCCTGATCCCAGAGTGACCGTTATCTGCACCACTCAAGGCGATTACGTCGGTGTTCTCGAGTTAAAGGGAGGACCCAGTGTGGCCGGTATGAAAACAAGCCAAAACTTTTACCTTCGCATGCCAATAGGTCTTCCGTGTTCTGCAAACCATTCATTTGCAATGGACCTGGTATTGGAGAAACGGTCCCTTGAGGCCAATAATCTTAGGCGGCGATCTTCACGGTCTGTTGTTCTACGGCGGCGTCCAGTGCTCCTTGCTCTTTGCGTACGGCCTTCTCGTAGCCATGCCTGACAACACCTAACCACAGTGTCTACTCTTCTTTGCACTCTAATTGCAATTGCCCGAAAAGAAAGTCCAGCTTCCCGAAGTCCCACTATACGGCCCCTATCAAACTCACTAAGTTGACGAAATCGTACAGGTCTCCGTACTCTAGGCATCGTAACCGATCGTAAAGGATGTCAAGAACCAAAATCCGCCAACGTTGATTCTTTACTGCGGCTGACACATTCATTTTTAGAGCGTTAGTGAATTAAAAAAAGCAGTATAAAAACCGGAATGTCCAACTGATAAGGCTGAACATTTTTTCACTTGTTATTTACAGTAAGATAAATACATTCATCAACTTTTATTAAAATAAAACCATTTAAACTGGGTGTTCGGATTTATCTGTCATCCAAAGCAACTTGATTATGTTATAAAAATGTTTTATAAGTATCTCGAAAACTATTAGACACGTCTAACAAGTAAACCGTTTTTGTAGTAGAAACACGAGAGAGTAAGGTTTTTCGGTCAGTTGTTATATACAAAAAAGTTATGATAAGTTATTTACTGAAATAGTCCTGTAAGTCGCACCCTCTAGAAGTTTGGCCATAAAAAATAATGGATTATTGTGTTTCATATTAGAAAACCTCCCAATACCGACATTTATTACAAAATCTGAAATAATTCTCAAGCAATAAGGAAAAATAGAAAATAAAATTTTAACTTTGACACCCTGATATTTAAGCTGCCTTCTTATAGCATGTTGGCATTAGAGAATATTTTTATTCCATCAGGCGTTGATAAAAATAATTTGTAACATTTTCCTTGAACATTTCCCCTTACAAATTGTTTGATATGCGTGTCAGCAATCTGGAAATCTTCGTAATTCGTTGTGCATAAATACCGCAACAATTACTTAGTGTTCAGTTTACAGGCCTATTCCAGTAATGCTCTCAATTAAGAGGCCATTTGCATATGAAAGGTACTTAACATACGTCGAGGTATGCGTTCTGAGCTATTCTTGGTATTCAATGTTCGTGATAAATCAATTTTTAGTATTGTTCATATATTTTTAGACCCTTCAGGCACCTGGGAATGAATAAGTATAGAAATAGATTTCTTGACTTCACGCTAACCATTCGTAGGGCTGGTTTGAAAGGACAAATTAATCAGTGTCTGAACAACGCTCCAACATAATATTTCTTACAAGTTATGCAGTACCAAAAGTCCTGACTGCAGAAGATGCAGCTTAGTCTGATGATGTTTCAAAAAGATTGATAAAGGCTAGTAAGCAAATTTCTATACGTTCCTTCATGGTTTCATACGAGGGTTGTCTTTTAATTTTGCATATACAAACCTAGTAGGCCACGCGGATCGAACGTCAGTACTGAATCTTAACCTCACTCTTTAGTAAACCTAAATTCAAAGTTTCACAACAATACGTGCAGTGTTCTCTCTACAGTGAATTTTTTAGTGTCACCAAGTCATTAGAAAAATGGAACTCAACCGAGAACATTTTCGCGCCATAATTTATTACAACTTTCAGAGACAGTTATCGCAACAAGAATGCCTTGCTGAGTTACTGTCTGTTTTCGTCCTTGAAGATCTCAAAGACCTCAATTCAAAAAAATTTACATGAAGAATTAGGAGTAAGAAAATTAGTTTCTCGTTGGATACCCCATCTGTTGACTGAAGAGCAGAAAGCAGCCAGGGTTAATTGGTGTCAAAAAGCGCTTGACCGTTTCAATTCCGAAATCTCAAAAAATGTGTACAGCATTGTTAGTCAAAAGCGGTTCATATTGCAACAATTCCTCTTAATGAGCAAAGAACTGTTACTGCGGATTGGTATACCACCATTTGTTTGCCAAAAGTCATCACCGAGCTTCGAAAAATCAACCCCGAAAGAAGAATCATCCTTCACCAAGACAATGCAGGCTCGCACACAGCCCAAAAAACAAGGCAGTATTTAACGGAAGAAAACGTGGAATTATTGGAACATCCTTCATATAGTCCCGATCTAAGTCCTAACGATTTCTTCACTTACCTGAAAATTAAAAGCAGACTTCGTGGTCAAAGCTTCCAGTCACCAGAAGAAGCAGTTGACGCATTCAAAAATGCCGTTTTGGATCTGCCAGCAAACGAGTGGAATAAGTGCTTCGAAAATTGGTTCGAGCGCATGCAGATGTGTATTAATCTTCGAAAAACAATAAAGTCATTTAAAACTACCTACCGTGTTATTTTATTTCCATATGCAAAACTTAAAAGACATCCCTCTTATATTGTCCAAATCTACTAGGTACTCCAAATGAATTTTAGTGTTTTGCTTTTTTCGGATTTATGTTAACTCATCTAATTTTCTTTTTTGCTCCGGCTCCAGTATTCGACCCAAGTCTGCCTGGTGGTACCTGATACTTTATGATCTACTTGGTACGTCCTAATGGCAAGCTGAAACACCTATTGACACCAGTACGCTGTGGCTCAAATGCTTATCCTTTCGTGCTCAAAAACGGAAAGTCCCATTAACTGTAACTGGCACACACACAAAACTTTCTTAAAGGTTAAACATAACATTCTTGTGGCTTCAGCAATTAGGTATGCATCCGACCTTTAACAACAGGCCGCAACAATTTCTGTTCATTTTTCACCCCTATCTGACTGACTTTCCAACTGATTAAAGAACCTCCGACATGCACCGTCTGGAAATGTAACGTGAGAATGGTATCATTTGTATTTTTTATTTCTGAGTTACGGAAGGTAAAGTGTTGCGGAGATTTACAAATAGAAAACGTCCCTTTCCCTGTTAATGTGGCACTCATTCTCTGTCCTTCAGGTATGTGAGGGATATTGAAAAATATATACTAAGTGACATATAAATCCGAACACCCAGTTTAAATGGTTTTATTTTAATAAAAGTTGGTGAATGTATTTGTCTTACTGTAAACAACAAGTGAAAAAATGTTCAGCCTGTACGATTTCGTCAACTTAGTGAGTTTGATAGGGGCCGTATAGTGGGACTTCGGGAAGCTGGACTTTCTTTTCGGGCAATTGCAGTTAGAGTGCAAAGAAGTGTAGACACTGTGGTTAGGTGTTGTCAGGCATGGCTTCGAGAAGGCCGTACGCAAAGAGCAAGGGGCACTGGACGCCGCCGTAGAACAACAGACCGTGAAGATCGCCGCCTAAGATCATTGGCCTTAAGGGACCGTTTCTCCACTACCAGGTCCCTTGCAAATGAATGGTTTGCAGAACACGGAAGACCTATTGGCATGCGAAGTGTTTACCGACGAATGAGAAGTTTTGGCTTGTTCACATATCGGCCACACTGGGTCCTCCCTTTAACTCGAGAACACCGACGTCATCGCCTTGAGTGGTGCAGACAACGGTCACTCTGGGATCAGGAATGGAACAGTATTGTCTTTAGTGACGAGTCTCGATTTTGTTTAGGAGTGCACGATGGTCGTGCCAGGGTTAGAAGGCGACGTGGTGAAAGGAGGAATCCACAGTTTTTTGTTGAAAGACATGTTCATCACACTGTTGGAGTTATGGTTTGGGGTGCTTTAGCTTATGGTTCCAGGTCACCTTTAATCTTCATCAGAGGTAACATGAACGCGCAGAACCAACTTTCCATCCAGATAATGCCCGACCACATGTTGCAAGAGTCACAATACACTTCTTTCAACATAATGATGTCACATTGTTACCATGGCCACCAAGATCTCCCGACTTATCCCCAATTGAGCACGTGTGGGATATGATGGGTAGGAGATTGCTCAATTTGCAACGTCCTCCTCAGACTCTAGAAGCACTTCGAGAGAAGTTGGTGGTTGCCTGGAATGAGATACCACAGGAGGACATTGACCACCTGATCAGAAGCATGCCTAGGCGCGTTGGAGAATGCGTAGCACATCAGGGTGCATCCACACATTATTAACGGTCAAAGGGCTTTAAAGCAGTGCAATCGTTTTGAAATTTTTATAATTTACTTATTATGCTTCATTAAGTACTTATACAAAATTTTATTAAAATAAAACCATTTAAACTGGGTGTTCGGATTTATATGTCACTTACTATATTTTAAGAATCGTGACCTGGGCCTGTAACACAAACAATACAATTGTTACAAGTAGCATTAGCAGCAGTGTGAATTGTAAATACAAAGAAAACAGTATTTGAATGCCGCTATTTTAAGGTCCTGGATCCATTTACAGATGAATACTGAATATTCCAACCAAAAAAAAAACTTTAAACTTTATTTTTATTTATGTACTATATCAAAAAATGAAAATGCATGACTACATTAAATAAAACTTAAAATAACATGTTGATGCACAATGTAACAGTGAGAATAGGCAAATTACTTGTATAATTAAAAAAATTCTTTTTTTTTATTACATTTTTGTAGAAAACACTGATCAACAGCCAAAAAATATCCTAAATAAAATCAACAAAATATTACTATTTTTAATGTGCTAAAACCGGAATGAAACTTATTTTTTCAATATTAGTTCAAGTTTTAGAGATACGGTAATTATATGTGTTCCTGCTGTGACAGTGTTAATATACTGTAATTCACAAGAATGCACGTGCTACATTTTGATATTCGGCAAGGAAAGATGATGTAATCGGCATGATTGTGTTACGTTATACATACGTGTACATTATATTGTTTTATATTAGCCATTTTTTCCTCAGTTGGCTGACAGCGTTCATGCAAGATGTCTCGAAAGTGTGTAAACAATCCAGATCAGTTTTGTTACGTGTGTGGTGATGTGACTTTTGCGTCTCAGAGACGGTCCATTACTTCACTAATAACAAAGGCATATCAGCTTTATTTCGGTTGTAAACTAGGTGATCAAGACAAACTGTGGGCACCCCACATCTGCTGTAATGCATGTGCTTCAAGTCTGAGGAGCTGGTTAAATGGCAAAAACGGTCTATGCGCTTTGCTGTCCCAATCGTTTGGAGAGAGCCTACAAATCATATTAATGATTGTTACTTTTGCATGGTACCTTGTACAAGCCACAGGTATGTCCAAGAAAAAAAAAATCGGTTATTAACTACCCAAACATACCATCTGCGATGAGACCTGTGCCTCACAGTGACGAAAATCCTATTCCAAAACCCCCAGAATCCTACACTTGCGAATCAGAAAACGAATCAGATCATGGCGATCGAGTGATTCGTCAGGAAGAAGATATGCCATCAACGACAAGCGATCCTGATTTTATACCGAGCACGTCATGCCACCAACCGCACAAAATAATACAGTCAGAATTAAATGATCTTGTAAGAGATTTAGAACTTCCAAAATGTAAGGCAGTTACTTGGATCAAGACTGCAGCAGTGGAACTTGTTAGAAGACGATGTTTCGGTATGTGTTTTTCGTAAACGCCACAAAGACTTAGAAACCATTTTTCAATATGGAGAATAACTTGGTTTTCTGCAGTAACATTAACGGCTTACTGGCGGCTTTAAATATAAACTATAACCCAGAAGAATGGAGATTGTTTATAGACAGTTCAACATTGAGTTTAAAGGCAGTGTTATTGCATATTGGAAATATTTTACCATCTCTTCCTGTAGGGTATGCAGTTCACATGAAAGAATGATATGACAATATGAAGTACCTATTGACATGCATAAAATACGATGAGCACCAATGGCATATTTGTGGCGATTTGAAAGTTGTTGCACTTTTACTTGGGCTGCAGCTAGGCTACACAAAGTTTTGCTGTTTTTTGTGTGAATGGGACAGTCGGGCAAAGGCACTTCATTACACCAGACAAAACTGGCCTGTTCGTCAATTCCTAGAGCCAGGTCAAAAAAATGTACAGCATATGCCATTAGTAGATTCGAAAAAAATTTTATTACCACCACTGCATATCAAGTTGGGCCTAATGAAAAACTTTGTCAAGGCATTAGATAGAGATGAGTCAGCTTTTCAATAGCTGCGTCAGAAATTTCCAAGACTAAGTGAGGCAAAGGTTAGAGAAGGTATTTTTGTTGGGCCACAGATTCGAAATATTTTGAAACATACACAGTTTGAAAACACTTTAACAGGTATTGAAAAAACTGCTAGGAATGATTTCCGTCTGGTGGTCACTAATTTCTTGGGAAATAAAAAAGCTGACAACTATAAAACCCTTGTCAAAAATATGCTGTCATCGTATCAAAAGATGGGCTGTAATATGTCTCTTAAGACACATTTCCTACACTCACACCTGGACTTTTTTCCTGACAATTGCGGAGCCGTAAGTGATGAGCACGGCGAACGTTTTCATCAGGATATTTCAACAATGGAAAAAAGGTATCAGGGAAAGTGGAATCCTTCCATGCTTGCAGACTACTGTTGGACTCTTGGTAGAGATGCTCCAGAAACTATCCATAAAAGAACAGCAAAAAGACAGCGCATATAGTGATTCTCATAAGTATATGAATCTTGTTACTTTTTTAATATATCCTTAAAAATAAAATTTTTTTTTTTCTAAACCGCAACTAATTCTTTTATTTCATTGTCATTTTTGGATTCAGCGCCCCAAAATTAACAAAGAAGTGCACTTTTCCCACAAGATACAATAAAAAACTAAAATTTGTTGTCCAGTGAAATTAATAGAATAAAACTTAATAAGAAAATATATGAATCTTACAAAGCGACGCGAATTCAGAAGTACGTCCATACGTCCACACAAATGAAACAACTTTGCGTAGCTACTTTGTTTGTACCATCGACAACCACCGCGTAAGTGTTTTAACACGATTCATAAAAATAGCCAAACAGTATTCGAAAACAGGATTCGATTACCGAGAATACAAAGCTGGTATTCAAATATTGGGATTCAGAAACGGTATTCAGAATCCAGAATACAGAGTACTGACCAAAAAATATTCAGTCGACTACCAAATATCAAACATAGAAAAATGTATTCAAATAGTATTCGAATACCAGTATTCTGAATAGAATTACTACACATGCCTGCCACCAGGTTTGTATGAGAACCTAAGCCTGAAGAATCAATCTAGCACGCCCAGAATGCAGAGGAGAAAATAACACTTTAGAAATGTAGGCGTTGTATTTTCATTCTCAAAACAAAATTAACTATATTCGGGCATGCAGGTAGCTTTCTGTACGTGAGACCGCCAAAGAATTTAGACTAGGTAGAAGGGACCAGTCAAGGATTTGTTTGTCTGCTAATTCTCATAGTCAATTTTTTGGAGTTCTGTCACTAAATTCTCATTTTTAGTAATATTTCTGCGGATGTTTTTGTAGTATTGGGTGATTTTAAGACTACAAGCCCCGACATTCCAATGTTTAAAAATATTTCAGAGATTGACAAGGTGCTACAATTTTACTACCGACTATTGAGAATTAAGCAGAGACTGTGAGATCAAACATATTTTATTCAATACAAAATAACAGAATTATTCTAATTTGAATCCGCGTCTTGCTTTTCGTTCAGCAAAAACTTCCGTCGCAGAACCCAAATTGAGTGCATTAGCTACTGATCTTTCGATATAGAGGATAGAGGAGTTGTTGAGTGTGTCTTCAGCCAAAGAGGCTCGACGGTATTCTTTAATAATTTTCAAAGAGTTCATGACACCTTCAGCACTAGTAGAACCGATAGGCAAAGTCAAAAGCAATCTGAGTAAACTGCAACTCTCTGGAAAACTGTCTACAAAATTGTTTGCAATCATGAACTTCAGATAATCTAGCGATCTGTGATTAGTAAAATTACGATTTTCCGAAAAATACATGCTCGTAAAACTGACTAATTCATATTTTACGTCTGTGGTGAAAAATTCCGAATATTTTTCCATCAAATTAGTGACGCTGGTTTCTGATTCGTTTTCTTTTAGATTGCTCAAAAAGCCAAACACATCATTCACTTCACGATATCCTTCAGTACGTTCTGGCAATTCGTTACTCATTGAATCAAAAACTTCGTAGTAATTTATGCGATGTTTTTCGTGTGTTTCCAGTGGCGAGTCAGTAGGTTCTTCGTGGAACATATTTTTGATTTTCCTCTTTCTGACAATAGAAAAACCAGGATTTTCCCATTCCATCTCTTCTTCCCATTTATTCTTAGCCTTCAGGATAAAATTATCGTATGTGCTTACGCTCCTCAAATCTTTTAATTTTTTTAATGATGCTGAAATGCACCTTTGAGCCATCATCAAGTCTATTTCTGTCTGCACTGTATTTATGACGCTCAATACTGAATGCCACCAGAACAAATTGAGGAAAAAGGTCCAGTTCATGGAGGAAAGGAGAGATCTTACATTCATTATATCTTCACCAGAAGCTCCCACTCTTGTAATTTTATCTTCTATGCAATTGATAATACATTCAAAAAATTTCTTCCACGATATTAGCACGAAGAAAATAGATATCTCGTCAATAAAAAAATGCACAGTGTTGTGAAAGTTTATGGTTATAAGCATTGAAGACGTGAAGAGACTGTAATACACGCATTAGTCTTTATTAGAGTGAAAGAGGCTGATTCATACCATGAAGATATTTATTTACCGAACATTATATGCCAGGTAATAATATATCACTGTAAGCACAAAATGAAAAAATAACCCCAACACTTAAGAAATAAAAGGGTCATTCGGTCATTTTTTTTTAAATGAAATAGTCATTTTTTTAAATTTCTTAAGAAATGAAAGGGAAATTTTCTTATTCAAACTGAATGCTAACGCGCTTTTTCATAAACATTACGCAGATGGTCACTAAAGGAATATAACAACACTCTGATTTCTTGTTTTCAATTTTACCCTCCCCCCCTCCCCCGAACACGAGAACATCTACCTGAACATGAAGAAGTTTTTTTACCAGTGTGAACCCCCCCCCCCCCGACACAAATCCTGGATCCGCCGTTGCATGCATCTATCTCGATGGATGTCCAGAGCAATCTGTTCTTTAAAAAAAGC